TTAAAAGACTGCCTTTTAACACTAGAAGAGTAAAGGCAACTAAACTGCTGGAGATAGTTCACGCTTGCAATTAAATACCGAGTGAAAGCAAAAAGTAAAGCAGAATGTTGTTTGGGAAATTTCGTAATAGGCGCACGAAATCTGGTGGACTATAATAATAAGATGTGCTATGTTCAAACTGATCAAGTCACAGAGTTGACAGGAGGCCAAACGGTAGAAGTTCTCCAGAAATTGGGAGCTGAGCTTCAACTGGCCTGTTAAGAAATTCCTCAGCACAATAGTGTCTCAGAACGGTCTAATCGAACTTTGCAGGACAAAGTGCAAGCCTACATATATGACCCCCGGAACATGTGAGATTTAGCCTTGGGTAATGCAGTATATGTCAATGATCACACACAACACCGGTCTCACAAAGTAATAGCCCTTTTAGAAAATTTTGCGCCCAATTTAAAGATAGATATAACTCAAATCAGAAGATTTGGCTGTGTGGCATTCATAAAGATACAAAGGAATACTAGAACCAAATTTGTCTCACAAAGTATACTCGTGGTGCTGATTGGCTATACCATCACTGGCTATATTTTTTTAAGACCAGAGTATGGAAAATTTTATGACAGTTAAGACGTAAAATTCCATGAAAGACTTGTATTCAGAGATACCTGGAGGAAAGGCAAGATAGCAAACTAGAAAAACCAGAAGATTGACATTAAGTTAAATGGTTCATTAAGTTTGATAATGATAGTCCTGAACAGTTATAAGTAACGGAGGGAGAATAAGAAGTAAAGAGAAAGCGAGATCAGTCCAAAAAGAATAGAGAGCTTGTTTAAGAAAACCTTAAATAATTTGCTACCATTAATGGTACAAGTTTTGCAGGAATTATCGATACGAACAAGTTAAATAAACTGCTTTAGTCTAAGGGTGATATTAATAGTTTGATGAAAGAAGCTGTCACAGCTCCAGATCGAGATCAATGGCTCAGAGCAATTGACGAATAACTAGAATCAATGCGTAAAAATCAAGTATGGAAAGTTGTAGAAATACCAACCATGAATGCTGAAGGAGGCAAGCTGAACATTATCGATTCTAGATGGATCTTGAAGATAAAGATGGAAGCACGAAGTTTAAGGGAACATTGGTAATTCATGGCTTTAGAGATAGGAACAAGTACGACCTGCCAGAAAACTATGCTCCAGTGTCTTGACTAGTTCTTGTAAGATCAGTAATATAAACTATCAATAGATATAATCTAGAGGATTGCCAACTTGGTGTCAAGACAGTCTTTTTAAAAGGTTCTATCAAGGAAGAAATATACATCGAGATTTCTTAAAACCTGCTTGATGATGACAGACTTAAGAAAGATAAAGTTTGTAAACTGGAAAAGGCTGTTTATTGACTCAAGATCAGCCCGAAAAGATGGAACGAGCGTTTTCGTGACACTGCCTTCAAATTGGGTCTAGAGTCACATAATAGCGAGCCTTGCCTTTATACATAGAAAAAAGTGAATGACTTTCTAGTCTTGATCCTATACGTGTGTTATATCCCGAGTTGACACGAATTATATTATAACTAAAAACCATCCGTCCATAAAAATTCAGATAACACGTATTGTGAATATAAAGTAAGCTTTAATGACAAGAGGAGCTTGCATGACATTTATGTGTGCGCGTGTGTGTATTAGCTTTAAGGTGAATGCTTTATAATATGCTGACATAGAATACGGCCAGCCTCATTGTAAAATTTCATGTATGTATGAATAAATAATTACTTGCTTATTAATTGTTTAATACTGATAATGTATACTAATTACAAATTTGTAATTCACACATTACTTCATTATATTCAAAATTGATTGTAAAATCCTCAGAAGGATTAATTTAGAAATTGTAAGCTTACTGTCATAATTAAACTTGTATTTGGCGTTCTTATATTGCTGATACGAGCTTTCATTATCACTGACCTAAAAACTCAATCGCACTTGTCAGAAAATGCGATTGGTACTGTTGTATGGTATTTCCTAATATGTAAAATCATAACATGTAACATCATCGTGCAACTATCAATGCAGTCTGCACGAACATCGCTCATTGGTTGACCTAATTCAACCAAAGGCCTCTTTTACTCGCTCTGATGCTATAAGAACGCACCATCAAGAGGAAAAAGTGCTCTCTTTACGTCTGTCACCTGTCCTCTAAAGTTTTAGTCAACTCTTGACTCTCGTGACTTGTGAGTACCTTATACACGTAAGGCATAACATGTTGGCTGAGGCAACTCAAGTGCGTATCGAGAACATCAAAAGTATCGGACTACGCTAAGGAGCGAGATACAGCAAAGGCCGAAAGTGATTCCGGCGATAGCAGAGGAAGCAGAAATCGCAACATCCTAATTGCCACGAACTCGCTCGTGTAAGTTAAGGAAACACTGACGGTTACAGCTCGAATTATTATGAAACTCCGAAGCAGCAGTAAAAATATTCAGTGACAGATGTAAGTAAAATATCAGTAATAAGATTTACGAATTTACGTTGAACCTTGTTATAGTGACTTGATTAAATTGTATGTCAAAGAACAAATTATTATTAAATTGCTTTAATGAGGAAATACATTAATGACCTGTTTTATTTAAATAAAGATTATTATTTAATACAAAAAAAAGCAAATAAAGCTCACGAGCTGAAATCTAAGAACCCCACGAATGGCACTTAAATGAAACAGTCAAAACCAAAATCTGAACAAGTCAGGTCATAACACGTGGATGATATGGTGATGGCTAGAAATTGTGTAAGGAAACTGAATGAAATTAAGTCTGGTCTGCAATCTGAGTTAGAGATGTCTGATCTGGGCGAGGTCAACACCTTTCTGGGTATTAAAGTGGAGAAAAATAGAAAATATAAAATGATTTTACACCAACACCATACAAAGAAAAAATTCTAGATAGATTTTGATTTAACGATTTGAAACCACAAAGAACACTAATGGTGACAAATCAAGTCCTAAATTGCTAACGAAAAGATAGAGAACAATCGGAAGATTCTGGTGAGCTGAACAAAAAAAAACTAGAGAAAATATACCATACAGAGAAGCAGTTAAGGGTTTGCTGTATCTGGCTAACACGATTGGACCGGATACCTTGTAGTCTGTGAATGTACTAAGCAGACACCAAATCTGCCTAGCTGAAGATGGTTAGAAAACGGTTAAGCGAGTTTTTCGATGTTTGCCACACACAAAAACTTTGGCATTAACCTACAGCAGCTACAAATATGAACTGGAAACCTATTCAGATGCTACTTTGGCAGACTGTAAAGGCTCAACTACAAGAGGTGGATACCTTATGAGATTCTATGGCGATACAGTTGCCTGGAAGATAAGGGAACAAAATTGCTTTGTGATCTTAGCCTGCGTGGCCGAATACGTGGCAATGTGTGCTGTAAGTCAGGAGTTGATAGGGCTGGAACACTTGATAAGCCTAATGTTGTCACATACTCTGTGGCCAGTGAACCTTTGGTGTGACAACAAGGCTACTCGAGCAAGTGCTAAGATAGATGGTGGCAAAAGACTAAGACACATGATCGAAATCAAATCTCATTACGTTAAGGAATGTGTAACAAGAGAAAAAATAAATGTCAAATGGATTTCGTCCAAAGAAAAATTGACAGACATCCTTACAAAATCTCTAACATTCAAATTGCACGAAAAATTAACGAAGAAAATTCTAAATATAAGTGAATAACTGATTGCATGGTAGTTAAAGATGGATTTGAGATACTTAAGACAATAATTTCAGAATTGATAGATAGTCATAATAGGCATGTCAGTTAGTGCTGCTTTCAGTACATTTTAGGTCATCCACAAGTATTGAATGAGAGATCCCAATGGCCAACTGGTTTCTGTTTTTAGCTGTCCACTCATTTAAGTTGAGTTTCTCCAAATTTTTGTTGTAATAATTTTTTAAAAACTCAGTTCAGATATGAACATAAGAGGGTGTGAGATGTATATTTGTTGCTTGCAACTAAATTTATATATACGTGGATAGTGGTGAGTTGAGACGGTACGGCGGTGTACTGCGGCGCCACTGTTTTATGTTTTTACTCTCTCCTTACCACGTATTCAGTCAGTCTGTCGATACACTCTCTCACTTTGGGTTTTTGCTTAGTAACACATCTTTATTTTACTTAAGATTTAATTACATTGTATTAAAGCCTCAAGATAGTTAAGATAGTGCTTACTTCAGATTTGTTCAAATAAACGTTTTAATTGAAAAGAGAGTGACTTCAATAAATATTTCTTCTAACATCCGCACACTCATACCTTTTAATCTCACAGTTATGTTATTTTAATGAATATTTTCGCAACACTAGAGAGTTCTGCAGTAATTCGATCCACGACAATAAATACCGTTTCATAATATTAAAAAAGTGAATAATCTATAATCAAGGATTATACCTGTAAATCCATAGCATATGTATAATTGTCCAAAAATAATTACATATTAACATGATTTAAAATAAATTAACTCTGAAAATGTTTTAAAAAACTTGTTAATACATTAACTACGAGAAGTACATAAAGTTTTAATAATCAATAAATTGAAAAATGTTGCTTACCTTGATATAGACGAATGTCAATTTATTTGAAAATTGAGAATATACTTGCACAAATTTAATATACTATTCATAAAAACACAATAAAAGAAGTATTTTTATTTTTGTATAGTTTTGAGGAATTGTTTAATCACAACTAAAGAAAATCCATGGTGTTGGATCTTATGCCTAACACCTTTACCAGTTCAAAGAGGAAATTTTCTAACGCTGATACCTCGAAAGCTACATAGACGTTTTTTTTTAATCATACAGACTACTTGTGATGCCTCGATAAGGTTTTACCCTAAATACCACAAAACTGTCACGTTTGTTGATTTTGTGTAGAAAAACTTTCTTACTTGTAGAAAACATATTAAATCTGAAAAGAATGAGTTACAGCCTAATAAAATTTAACTTTCATTAGGAATTCTTGACAATCTTATCAAACATTTCACGAGGCTCAATGGACGAAAAGCTGCAATGGGTGTTTGGACTTTACGACCTTGATGGGGATGGACTAATTTGTAAAGAGGAAATGGTAGATGTTGTCGGTTCTATCTATGAGATGCTGGGACGTTATACGACGCCTCACATTTCCGAGCCTCATGTAGCAGCACAGGAGCATGTCGATCGCATATTTCACGTGAGTATAAGTAGAGATACTCGTATTTTGTGGATGTTTAATAAATTTAATCCATAGAGGTGGATTGAGTCCCTAAAGTAAAGTAATAATTATAATTTTTTAGAAATCACTTAAACACTTCTCTAGAAATATTCAAATTTTTTTTTAATTTGTTGACTATCATACCCATTCCGATGCCTTTTCGAGATAAAAACTTTGTCTAATATCATATTATTGTAGCGTTTGGCATAGTTAAGAAAATAGCCACTATAACACTATTTAACATAGAATGGCTTTCTGTAAGCTCCTCATTTCAAAAACTAAGACAACTTGTTGTCTGTGTAAGCACGGTAAAGTGGCTCACCACTTGTTCATCTTCCTCCTTAGTACCTAGACTACTGCTTTTGCTAATGTAGCAAGTGGGCTTTCTTCTCTTCTACGGTTCAGCAAGAGTTTAAATACTGAATATGTGGTTCTTCCATCACTAAGCAGAGCGAGCAGTAAGTTTAGGAGGTCAACTTTTCTGGTGCCTCCAAGTGCGCCCAAAAAAAGCAAACTGATTTCTCTATTCGCTATGTGGCCAGTAATTGTATCAAAAATTTTTCTTTGCTCTCGTAGTAACGTGGGCTCTGTTTGGGCAACATGTACCCCTAAGGCGACAGTATCACAACTGAGTTGTTTCATAAAGTCAGTGAACAAATCTCCCGTTCTTTGGGGGAAAAGCATATAAAAATTGGTGATCATTTTGCCAACCATCGCAAAAATCTTGTCTGAAATGAGTTTTAGCGTTTCGTTAAAAACTAACTCATTGTCGACTGAAAAAGTCCCTTGGTACTTGCGAGAGATACCTTCTTATTAAGCTACCTTATATTTATCCCATAATTGTCTGGGATTGGAGAGTCAGCAGAAGCTTCTCATCATAGTGAAGAATTCTTGCACCATAGTGGGTAACCGGCACAATATGGTGTCCTCCATCGTTGCGTCCCAGTGGCCGTTATCTTTTAGCAGTCCAATCGCTTCACACGATTCTCTGAAAGTTGCCATTTCTTGTCCATCTACGATTCTTAAAGCTTGAAAACCGTTGAGGCCCCTTAATCTAATAAGCAACAACCGTACGCAATAACACTCAAAATTTGTTACATGTACGGTGTAAGGTCTGCCAAAAGCATTTAAGGACTTTACTCTAGGCCATCCATTGACAGGTCTTTCGTTCACCCGATGCTTCTACTCCTTCCACAACGCATTTCACGTGTAATGACGTGGCTCTTAGAGTAATGTAAGCTCATCGTCCTGGCAAAGGCGGAGATATGCGGTGAGGGTAGTAACAGGTGGTATAGCGGCTTGGTCATGCATGTTGGCCTTAGTGAAAAAAATGCGCTCGCCGTTGGCATGGTGGACGGTAAGGTGAATCACTGTTAGGTGCTTTTCACAAAATGGTAGCCCGAGTATTCTGTACACCGCTTCGTTACCCCTCACATATCAGCCCACCTGAAACATCTGCACTTCATCCTGTGGGTCGATCACAGCGTTACCCTGTTATCACTCCCCTTGTTTATAGATTTGAAAATCTATGAAGTTGACTGGACTAAGCTGCAAAAACTCTACATTTGTGTGGGCGTCAAATATCTTGCACAGAAATACCAAATAGGGGACAAAACAGCTATTGTCCACATTACAGTCAACTTTTGTCCAGCGCCTCTGACGTGAATTTTAAACTGTACGTTAATTATCCTCGGGAGCCTTACGCCTGTATAATGGGTAACCATTTTAATTGACTCGCGTATCTTTATTAAGTATATGAGAATATTTCTTAGTGCACTTCTCATCCTTGATGCAAGGGGCCGCACGGTTTAGTAAACCACAGGATCCGTGAATCATGCTTCTAGTGACGGTATCGTATAACTTTTGGTCTTTAGTTGGGTCGCGAAACTGAGAAGAAAAAACTGCATCTATTTGGTTGAGATGCAACTTTTCTTTAAGCCTTAGCAATAAATGGCAATAAATCATTGACATTTCTTTTGGAAGCAAAATTAATGCAATGTCAGTCTACGCCATTGACAGAATCTTTTTTATTTTAAGAAAGAAAATAATAAGTTAACGTTTTATACAAATAAGTTTTTTCAGACGCTCCCAGATTATCTCTGAACAAAATATAGTATTTTTGTTCACAAATAATGTTACACATTTTTTTGCTCATTATTTAAACTTATAAAGATTGAGTTAAACATTTTTTTACTGAAACGTATTTCTTTATCTAGATCATTTTTTTTTTTTTTTTTTTTTTTTTTTAAGAAAACGCAAATTAAAGCATTAAAATGATCTATCTTCTAATTCTCAAATTGAGTTAACATGTAAAAGAGAGAAATTATCTTTACAATCAAAAAAATTCTTTAAGACAAATTTATTACACTTATTTTTTTAAATCTTAACTCTAGGGTAACTGTGGGTATTACTGGCACTGCTGCAATTACTGGCAGTCAATAGAAATAAATATATACAAAATTATTTTATTCAATCACGTATCAGTTCAAAACATAAATTTGAATTATTTTATCAATGATAACACATGCGGTTGTGTGATTCTCTCTCAGAAAATTAAATTTTACAGCAAAAAGCGACTTGCTTTCAACGGTATTTTTATTAATAAATATGGAAAAATCACAGAAGAAACAGTTTATTGAATAAAAAAAAACCTTAATTTTTCGATGAATGCAATGAAAATTAGTTTTAAATGTTTTTTTTTTTTTTAATTTTGATGTCAGTATTTGGTACAATATTTGTCGCTACTGTTAAATTACTGGCAGTAATTTGGTAAGGTATAGCCATCTAATCTAACAAAGTTATTAACCACTAAAGCCTCTTGCTCAGTATTTGTCTTGGCCTTCTGAAGATATTTTTCAATCAGTAAACAAAAAGAAGAGTAAAACTAAAATTCCATCAGTTATATCAGGTCCTATGAGGCAAAAAATCAGTGAAGAAAAAAAAACGATAAAATTGTTGAATTGGAAACAGCAGCAGAAAAAAATGAGATCAGAGAAAAAAAAATGTTACAAATAAAAAGAGAAAACGACATATTAATCAAGCAAGAAAAAAATTTCTTACAGCAACAAACTAGAATCGAAAAAGAAAAGGCCAAACTTGTTGCACACCAAAAAAAAAAAAATGAAATTGAACAAAAAAATAAATCCCAAAAAGGAATTTTAGTGGAGATAAAATTAAAAAAAGATTTAAAGAATCCAAAAAGCGAATTGCAAATAAAATTGAAACACATTGATAGCTAAATAATATTTCTTTTTTTTCAATGATTAAAGATTTTATTAGACTAGGTAAATGTTATTGTGATTTCACGTGATAAGGGTCAAAAAATCATATCTTCTAGTATTACACGGCCAGTAATTCAAATTTAGACAGTATTGGGGGGCCAGTAATACGTGTATGGTGTCAGTAATAAAAGCATGTTGACTATTCGCGAAAATATTTATTATTATTAATATGATCTTATTTATGTGCACTTAAAAAATCGTTTATTGTTTTTTATTAAATAAAGTTGATAATAAAAAAAATGTATTAGATTGATACGGTTTTCTTTTTTATACCATACATTAAAGTAGCTTCAGTCAAAAAAGTGTCAGTAATACCCAGAGTTACCCTAATGTTTTCTAGAATTAAAAATCAACCAAAAAAATTGTGTTTACTGTTATGAAAAACAAACAGCAATCACTTCTTTAAAAATGTCATCTATTTTTTATCGTTATTCATTGAACCTATTTCAATTGCAATATCTTCAAACGTTTAATACGTTATTTCTGTATATGTTCTAATATCTTTGTATGGTATCAAACTCGTTACTTCATTAATGACAAGTTTTAAAAAAGTTTTCCACGATCTTTTAGAGATATAATGTTGAATGTACCTAACGCAGTATATTTATTTCGTTTTTTTTCCTGAATTTTTGATTTATTATTAAATATATAGTATTCTGGAACGTTAACATACTTATTTAATTTAGTTTGGTTGAAACCAAGCTGTTTACTATAAATCATAGTATCTTGACTTATTATAACCCCAGCCGCATCTCTGCGGTAAAATTGTATTGGTTTTTAAGTCATTTCAAGTTATATTACTATTTGCACCTCCCTCTTCAGGACTCATTACAGTTTTAAATAAGGTCCTAAGTCCCCTTACAATTTTTAAGCTAATTGTTTGAGGAACGCTCTAATATTTGTTTTAGCCATCTTTAGCCACTTTCTACCACTCTCTTAATAATTATTTATCATTTATATATATTTTTGGTAGCACACTTTCACACCACCTTTGAGGTGATGCTATGGCATACTGGTTTTTTTTTTTAATTGTCAAACAGTTTACTCATTGTTTTTTTAAATACGTATGAAACATGTAGCATATGCTTACTAATTAATTTTGTAAGTTTTTTGTTATTTAAGGTAATCTAAGAACATGTTATATTATAGATATTTCAAAGAGTGTTTATTTTATTATCAGAAGGTAATGTTATAAGTTAATGTGCATGCGATAGTCTACGTTTTAGGAACTTTATTCTGTAAACATAAGATCATTTATTTTTAAATTAAATTGTAAAGCCTATCACTTTTAATCATAAGGTATGCATGTAAAAAAATTTGTTGACTTGATCTTTCGGCACGCAATAGACGACTCAAGTTTTTTATATCAAAACTGTACGATTATCTGGATAAACAATTTTGTAACACAGTTAGATTACTATTTGAACTATTGTTATTACTTTCTTAAATGATTGTTATTTTTATTATTATCATTATGATTACTATCAAACTAATAATTAAAGTAATTAGTACTATACGCTAAATAACCTGATGGAAACATCAATAGTAATACTACTGGATTGATAAACTGGGAGAGCTTATTTAGACATATTTCTTTTAGATGGTTTTTTGTTAATAATAGCCACACAGATTTAAATATTCTGGTAATCCTAAGTCTAGAACAATGATTGATTCGCATTTAGCAGTTAATAATTTATT